GTCCATGAAGAGTGACAACTCTAGAAATTATCCTCCACTCTTCAGTCATGAACCTGGAACCTCAGGCACAACGTAAGAGTTTGCTTCTGCAGTAAACTGAACTGAAGATGATTTTGGATTTTACTGTCTTTCATATTATTTTAAAGGGGTTTGTGGGAGTGGAGTCACTGAATTATCATTAACCCCCTCAGGAGCAGGTTAAGTTTGAAATTATGGATCAGTATATATAAAATGACTGCTTTTGGAAGAAGTATTGCTCTTGAAATTAAAGACACCATTCTCTAATGATCAAGGCTTACTTCTGTCCTCCATGATTATTTTCAGAATAGGTTAAATTTTATTAACATATCAGCTGGTGTCAAGTCACTCTGAATAAAACTCTTAACCATCTCACAGCTTCACCTAAGTTTTTTTGTTTGTTTTCCCACACTTCTACTCACACAGCAGCTGTGTTGCTCTTAGTCTTTACTATGTGTTTTGCCTGTTTTTTTTTCTTTTTTTGTCCTTGAAATTTTGTAATTTTTTCTTCCCTTGTAAAATAACTGTTTTCATAGAGTACACTTATATAGCAACCCAAAACCATTTACGTGAACATGCTGGTACAGTAGTTTTGAGAACATCCAGTGCTTCGCCCCTATGAAATTGACACTAAGAGAGAAACTTCTTAATGGCCAACAGAAGGAACATGCACATCAACAGTGGTGTCGTCATTCCATGTTTTTATTTCCAGACGTCAGCAACGGAATGGAGAGTTTCCAGGATCCAGCTCCATGTCCATGAAGAGTGACAACTCTAGAAATTATCCTCCACTCTTCAGTCATGAACCTGGAACCTCAGGCAAAATGTAAGAGACTGCTTCTGCAGTAAACTAAACTGAAGAGGAGTTCAGATTTTATAGTCTTTAATATTTATTTTACATGGTGTCAGCTCTCCTCTCCTGTTCCTATTACAATGCATAGTGGTCTTTTTCTGCAGGTAATTTGTGTAGGAATTTAAATAAAAAAGTATAGATAATGGCTCATTTCCTAAGACAATCTTCAAGTGTTTTTTTTCCAAAACACACTTTCTGTAGGAGTATTCACTGACTATGTCTTTTGGTGTTGAGTAATATAGCTTCGTTTTTAGCCGACTTCACAGTATGGTCTCTTCACCAGTCCCCCCTGTACTTTTCTGCCCAGTCTTTCAGATGTTTTGTTACTCCCCATTTATGAATAAAGATTCTTCATTTAAATGTAATAAATTTAAATGAAAACTAAATATACAATTTTTTAAAGATCTATGTAAAATGTTCTGTGATTTGGGGAAGAAAAGGCTAAAATTTATACTAGCTTGTTTCTAGTCTTTGTATTTGCAAGTTTCAACCAGCTCACATATTCATATAAAGTTGTCTTTTTCAGCTCAATTTCCACTGACACAGCAATTGTGTTGCTGTCATTCTGCATTATGTTTCAACCTCCTAATATTTTTCCTATGAACTTTTGTAGTTTTATCTTCCTTCATACTCCATTCCCTACACCACACCTTTCATGTGAATGAGTTTGTAACATCGACTGAAGAACCCTGATTTAGCATAGCAAGTTGGTTAACCAGCTTTGCATGAGTTCTTTTTGTGCTTACCAATGTAAGGATTAGTGAATGCAGGCTAAGGAAAGATATCTTCAATTTACAATAGAATAAAACTATACAGAAATCAAAACTAATGAAAATCGACTAAAGATTCAAAAGTGATTTAAAAGAATGGTCCTAGGTACTTCAAACATCAAGTAAAATACTATTTGTCCAGAACTGAGTTGGTGGTCAGATCTCACCACAAAGAATTATTTTTTGCCTTTTTTTACTAATTAATTTCACATTTGCCTCAAAGTTTATATTATTTCTGCAATTGGCAAAAAAAAAAAAAAAAGTGATTTCCACAATAAACTACAACAAACCTTCTGGAGTTCAAAGATGAGAAGAAATTAAACATACTTAGGGAAACAGACTAGGTGTACAGTGAGAGAAATAAAGATTTTTCTGGAAGCCAGTGCCACTAATAAACTTAGATATTTCTTTACTTTACTGCTTTTATTCGGTCAGAATAAATGGTTCTTGGTGTCCACAGAGAGAGAAAGAGGGCAGAGTTGCTGCCCTACTGTGCTTTGTGTCATGAAGTCCTGAAGGATTCATCAAGAAACTCCTCATGTCCCCAGTGTGGAGAAAGATCCAGAATCAGAGGTAATCTGCAGAGAGCCAGTCAGAGAAGCTGTGTACAAAGAAAGACCTGACATCTTTCTGCTAATGAACTCATTTTTGGAAAACTGGACTTCCTATTGTTTTGCTAAGACATTAAAGAGTTTTCTTGCTCTTTATTTTTCTTGTTTTTCTCACTGTCAACAGATCTGCGTCTGTAGAAAGTTTCTGATGCACTAAAGGTCACGCTGAGGAGAAGATGTGAACGTGTAAGTGAAGGACCTGAAAAATCAGGAAGTGGAACCCTCCTCCACAGGATCTACACTGAGCTCTATATCATAGAGGGACAGAATAAAGAATTTTGCTTCCAACATGAGGTGTGGCAGGTGGAGAGCACCTGTAAGAAGATCGCCTGTGAAACACCAATCAGCTGCCAGGACATATTTAAAACCTTTCCTGACCAGCAAAGACCCATCAGAGTGGTTCTGACATATGGTGTTGCTGGCATTGGAAAAACCTTCTTGGTGCAGAAGTTCACTCTGGACTGGGCAGAGGGCTTAGAAAACCAGCACATCAGTGTGGTGGTTCTGCTTTCATTCAGAGAGCTGAACTTGGTCAGAGATGAGCAGTACAGTCTCCTGGAGCTGATCCATGTTTTCTATCCAACATTACAGAGCGTCACAGCAGAGAAGCTCACTGTGTGTAATCTTTTGTTCATCTTTGATGGCCT